TTGTAGAGATGGAGTCTCACCATGTTGCCCAGTCTGGTCTTGAACTCCTGGGCCCAAGCAGTTCTCCTGCCTCGGCCTCCCAAAGTGTTAAAATTACAATCATAATCCACTGCACCTGGCCTGGAACTAATTACATGGAGTCTCGGCTCACTGCATCCTCCGCCTCCTGGGTTCAAGTGATTCTCCTGCCTCAGCCCCCTGAATAGCTGGGATTACAGGTGCCTGCCATCATGCCCAGATAATTTTTGTATTTTTAGTAGAGATGGGGTTTTGCCATGTTGGCCAAGCTGGTTTTGAACTCCTGACCTCAGGTGATCCAACCACCTTGGCCTCCCAAATGCTGGGATTACAGGTGTGAGCCATGTGCCCCGCCTCTGACTGATTTTTTGAGTGTAGTATGAGATACAAAGTAGGGGCCTACCTTCATTTTTTTTCTGTATGGATATCCAATTGTTCTAGCTTTATATTTTGAAAAGACTATCCCTTTTCCACTGATTAAAAAAGCCACTTTTACCATACATCAGATATCTATATATATATTGCTGGGTTTAATTTGGGCGATTTTCATTCTGTTCACCTATTTGTCCATCTCTGTGCTAGTAGCACAGTATCTGCACTCTAGGTCTATGTTAGTCTTAAGATGAGGTGGGGCAAGTTTTCCTTCTTTTTTTTTAAGATTGTCTTGGTTTCTTATCTTATTGTTTTGTATTTCTTTTTTTTTTCCTGAAGAGTTGGGTTTATTTCAATGGCAAATTTGAAACCCTTGCCTTAAGCAAGAGTACTATAGTAATTATGTCAGGAATAGACAATTTCCTACACTGTCAAATATATAAAAGTTCCTTTTGTACTTTCTTCAACACTGATCAACAAGCAGAGTCAGTCCACATTTGCTTTGATCTAGCTACTGAGTTAACCTGAATTGCTTCTTCAGAGATTCTGGCATCTTGGGTGGGGGAGGGCAAGGGAGCCTGAAGCAGGCCTTCACAGAATCATACATAAACTACTATAGTGCAGTCAGAGTACCAGTCATAACGATACAAGCAAACAGTCCCTTCCATACACCTTTAAAGCCAAGTGTCTGGAGGACCTGAGAAGCACTGCTACCTGTTTCTTTATTCAACACAGATACCACAGAATCAGCAGGGTGAGAAACAATTGCAGAAAACACTCCAGGTATATAACCTGCTATAACTGTTACAACCAGCTCCTCTGCCTTTGAACATTCACTGTGGGGGCTTAGGAACCACAAACTTGTATGATGCTTCAACAGTATCTTCAAAGCAGACAGACTTCATCATGGTGTATGCTGCCTCATCCAGAGAGGAGTAATCCCTTTGTAGCATGTTGTTAGGCCTTCTTCCTTATACATTTTGGGAGCTGCATCCCTCAAAGTGTTGGTGTAACCTGGTTGGGTTTGAATTTGAACCTTAGCAGCTTCCATAAGGCAATTACAGCAAAGAATTTAGCACTTGCAGAGGTAGCCAAATATAGTGATATGCGCCAGAGATAACATGTTCTGGGAGCATATTGCTATACGAGACTTTAAAGACTTCATAAAAGCCAAACTTGCAGAGTCCAGCATGGAGTGACCAATGAAAGTCAGAGCCCAACCTTTAGCCAAACAGTGAACACCATCGTCCTTAGTGCAACTGAGAATCCATTTAATATGCCCTTGTACTTTTGGGGGTCTACCTGCATATGGCATTTCTCTAAACCCCAGGAGAATGATGGCAGTGTGTGTCAGACTACAACCTAAGACCTCACCAGAGCCACACGGTGCATAATACTTTGTGGAGCCATATTCACAACTATACTTTTCCAAGGCAGCAGCTGCCAGGTTAAGAGAGCAGTGGGGCAGGCCTCTGGGTCTTGTGGTGCTGCTATGGAGGTCCGTGAGGCCATCGTCCACCAACTGCAGGTGTGGTGCATTGAAGGAGTTAACCCATGCCAGGTGTGCCATGGATGAGAACTTCTCCCTAAGATGGTGAACACCCAGCCACTCCCTTGGAAAGTTTGTGGCTCACAGGGTGATATTTTGTATTTCTGCATTGGATTTAGAATCAGCTTGTCAAGTTCCACAGGAAAATAGGTTGAGATTTAATTGAGATTGCATTTAATCTATAGACCAATTTAGGCAGAATTGACATTTTTATAGTATTGCATCTTCCAGTCTATGAGCATATGACATATTTCTTCACTTTAGATCTTCTTTAGGAGTCCCTCAATAAATGTTTTATAATTTTCTTCATAGAAGGACCAAAATTTTTAGATAAGTGGAAATGGGGATGCCAAGAGGAGGATAAAAAGGAGACAATTTTCACCCAGTGTAGCCAGAAATTCAAAGGCGACATATATAGTTCATTCTGACATTTTTCAGTATTACTGACTTTTTACTCTGACTTTTTATTATTTGTTTACTTTTTATTACTTGTATATGTTTGCATTGTCTTTAAGTCCTCAGCCACATCCCTAAACACTTAGCAGATTACCTTATTTCTTATTTTAGAAGATGTTGCCTGAGCAGCTAAAGCATTCTTAACTGTCTCCTTGTGGTGCATCTCCACTGCAAAATTTCTCCCATCTTTGTACTCTTTTTTTTTTTTTTTCACACTATTCCTGATATAGGAGTGTCCCGATGAGTAAGAAGGTCCAGTGCTAATCTATCCATGAGTACTCTGATTCCAGGACAGTTGGGATAACTGTGGTTATAGTGGTTACAGATTCCTTCCTATCTGTAGTCTTCCTTTGCATTTCCCACAATCAGCTAATGGCAGAGGCCCCAGAAAAATGATGCCCAGTTTTATAGTAGAAACATAACATGTAAGAATTATTACATTGTTAACATTCTTCTACCTACATCACCTATGAAATGAGGATTTTGTTACTTTTACAGATAAGAGCACTTTTTTGCCTGAGCTTCTGTGACCTGCTCCTGGGACTTTGCTGGCTCACAGAGACACTTCTCTATGGAGCTTCAGTAGCAAATAAGGACATCATCTGCTATAACCTACAAGCAGTTGGACAGGTGAGTGCTACTAGACTGTCACTGCACCTTGCAAGAAAGGCACACTCAGATCTAAATAGACACAAAGATGATTCAGCTTGGGAAGTGGAGACCCATTTGTTTATTGTTATGTTTTGAAACAATAGCTTTTGTCTTTTTTCAAGATTAAAAAATGCTATTTATTATAGAAATTTTTGAAAATTCAGAGAAGCAGAAAGATAATATTATCATTCTTTAATATTTTGTTCAAATTATATATCCTTCCAATGTTTTCATAATGAATATATATCTTTTTAAAGCAAATCAAATAATACATTAATATATATATATATATTTTTTTGAGACAGTCTTGCTCTGTTGCCAGGCTGGAGTGCAATGGTGCCGTCTTGGCTCACTGCAGCCTCCACCTCTGGGATTCAAGTGATTCTCCTGCCTCAGCCTCCTGAGTAGCTGGGACTACAGGTGCACAGTTGCCACCATGCCCAGCTAATTTTTGTATTTTTAGTAGAGATGAGGTTTCACCATGTTGGCCAGGATGGTCTCGATCTCTTGGCCTTGTGATCTGCCTGTTTCAGCCTTCCAAAGTGCTGTGATTACAGTCATAAGCCACCTCTCCTGGCCAATGAATACTTTTTATAACCTGTTTTTGTTATTCAACATATTGTGATTATGTTTCCAGGTAATGAAATACTTTTCCATAATATCATTTGAAATGATTGCATGGTTTTGTGTTACAGGAATAAAATAAACATTGGATTTTGAAAATACTGCAGATAATCACATATGAGTTGTTTATCTTTCATGAATTTTACCAGTGGATTAATCCACATAGTACCATCAGTATATAACACTCCTGTGTTTCTGAGACATGTAGTGTGAAAAAAGTAAAGGTTAAAATGCAGTCTGTTCTCACTGCTAGATATTTCCGTTATTAGAGGGGAAATTTCTTTCAATTTAATAAGAAATTAATAATATGTAATTGGTGGCATAAAATCTGTGCACTAATATGTTACCTATATCATATGAGTTTAAAATGTTTTAGAGTCATACTTTGCTCAGTCCTGCTAACAATCTCATGAATTAAATAGAGTTAAGGCTGTATTGTTTACTCAGATAATTATAGTCTTTGATCAGAAAAGTCTGTATTAGAATCCTGGACCTGATTAACTTTGTAATGTTTGACCAGCACCTAATCTTTCTGAACCTCAGTCTCCTAATCTGTAAAATGGCCATTAATAATATTTACTTTGTGCTTGGTACAGATGTGGTTAATGTTACTTTGTTTTTTTACAACTTTATTGAGTTATATCTGTAGTAAACTATACATATTTATGGTGTACAATCAGTTTTTACATATGTATTTTCCTGTGAAATCATCACCACAATCAAGATAACAAAGATTCCTGTTTCCATCACCCTCCAAATCATTTCAGATATATTTTCCTTAATGTCGTTGAGCTATGTATTATAACAGCTGCTTTTAAAAATAGTTGTTGGATATTTCCAATGTCTGGCTCATTCCTAGGCTGGTGTCTGTCTGCTGATTATCTTTTCCCATGAGAATGGGTCACATTTTCCTGTTCTTTGTATGTCAGGTAATTTAGGATTGCATCTTAGATATCATGAATACTATGTTGCATAGACTCTGGGTTCTTTTATAATTCTCTAGAGATTGTTAATACTTTTATTTAGCAGACAATCAACCTGATTACATTTGGAATGTAAATGTGGTCTCATCATCTGTGGACAATGGTTCAAATCTCAGTTTAGTTCTATAAGCCTTGGCTATGCTGGTTTGAGACTGTCATGCACATGCATAGTAGACAGGTTAGGCTGAGACTTGTTTGGATTAATACACAGAATTAAAGCATCCCTTTTCCTGGCTGTCTTTCTTCTGGGATTCCCTCCATACTTTCCTGTCTAAAGGGGGTCCTTTTCCGGTCTCTGTTGCCCAAGATAGATTTCTTTTAGAATTGTAGTTACCTTCATTGAGCAGCATCATGACTGAGGTACATGCTTGAGCAAAAATAAGAGAAAAGGGAGGGAAAAGTTTGAAAAACTCACTTCTTCTGTTCAGTTTACTTCTCCAAGTTTGACTTCTTTCCACAATCTACCTGTTTCTGTTTACTTTCCAGAGTCTTCAAGTGTTTGTTTTTTATATTTTTCCTAGGATTCCTTACTTGTAATCAGGGATGAACTGGAGAGGGCTTAAACATATTTATTTTGTTTGTTTTATTTTTTAAGATTGTGGTAAAATATACATAACATAAAATTTATCATTTAAAAATTTTAAGTATGGTAAAAATGTAACATAAAATTTATAATCTTACTTTTTTTAAGTATACACTTCAGTGACATTAAACATTCACCTTGTTTTCCAACTGTAACTACAGTCCATCTCCAGAGCTTTTTCATCTCAAACTGAAACTGTGTACCATTAAACAATAACTCCCCATTTCTCCTTAGTACCAGATCCTGGTAACCACTCTTCTACTTTTCTATGAATTCGACTACTCTAGGTACCTCATATCAGTGAAATCATATAATATTTGTCCTTTTGTGTCTGACTTATTTCACTTACATGTCTTCAAAGTTTATCTTGTTGTAGCATGTGTCAGAATTTCCTTCCTTTTTAAGGCTGAGTAATACTCCATTGTATGGATAGACCACATTTGGTTTATCCGTTTATCTTTCAGTGGACACTTGGGTTGCTTCCACCTTTTGGATGTTTGTGAATAATGCTGCTATGAACATTGATGTACAAATACATCTGAGTCCCTACTTTCTCAGTTCTTTTGTGCATATACTCAGGAGTAGAATTACTGGATCAGGTGGAAATTCTGTGTGATTTTTTGAGGAAACACCATGTTTTCCATAACAGCAGTGCAGAGAGCTACAGTTTCCACATCCATGCCGACATTTGTTGCTATATTTTTTTAAGTAATAGCCATCTTAATGGGTGTAAAGTGGTTTCTTGTTGTGGTTTTGATTTGCATTTCTCTAATCATTAGTAATGTTGGGTATCTTTTCATGTGCTTATTGACCATTTTTATGTCTTCTTTGAAGAAATGTCTCTTCAAGTCCTTTCCCTCTTTTTTATTTTTTTTGAGAGGGGACAAAGTCTCACTTTCTCATCCAGGCTGGAGTGCAGTGGCACTATCTTGGCTCACTGCAGCTTCTGCCTCCCAGGTTCAAGTGATTCTCCTGGTTCAGACTCCCAAGTAGCTGGGATTACAGGCATGTGCCACGACACCTGGCTAATTGTTGTATTTTTAATAGAGACAAGGTTTCACGATGTTGACTAGGCTGGTCTCCAACTCCTGACTTCAAGCAATCCACCCACCTTGGTCTCCCAAAATGCTGGGATTACAGGTGTGAGCCACCATGCCCAGCCCCCCCCCCATTCTTTAATCAGATTATTTACTTTTTTGTTATTGAGCTATAAGAGTTCTTTGTAAAGTCTTTACATTAACCCCATTATCAGACATACAATTTGCAAATATTGTCTCCCAGTCTGTAGGCTGCCTTTTCACTCTGTTACTTGTGTCCTTTGATGCACAGAAGTTTTATAAATTCTGATGCAGTTCATGTTTTCTTTTGTTGCCTGTGTTTTTGATGTCTTACTCAAGAAATCATTGCCAAATACAATATCATGAAGCTTTTACACTATATTTTCTTTTAAGAAGAGTTTTATACTTTTAGTCTTACATTTAAGTCTTTGATCTATTTGAAGATTTTTGTATGTGGTATAAAGTAAGGGTCCAGCTTTATTTTTGTGCCTGTGGAATATTCAGTTTTCCTGGTAGCGTTTATTTATTTGAGACAGTCTTGCTCTGTTACCCAGGCTGGAATGCAGTGACATGATCATGGCTAATGTGGTCACAGTGGCTTCGACCTTCCGGGCTCAACTGATCCTCCCACCTTAGCCTCCCAAGTAGCTGGGACTACAGGTGCATGCCATCATACCTGGCTAATTTTTGCATTTTTGGTAGAGATAGGGCCTCCCTATGTTGTTTACACTCGTCTTGAACTCCTGGGCTCAAACAGTCTTCCCACCTTGGCCTTCCACAGTGCTGGGATTACGGGCATGAGCCACCATGCCTGGCCCCATTTGCTGAAAAGAATGTTCTTTCCCTTCCGCATTGAATGATCTTGGCACCCTTGTCAAAATCATTTGATTATATATGTAGGATTTATTTCTGGGCTTTTAATTCCTATTCATTAGGTCTTTATGAAACTAGAAAGTGTGAGTCCTCCAACTTTTTGTTCATTTTTCTTTATGAGACAGGCTGGAATGCAGTGGTATGATCTTGGCTCACTGTAGCCTCGATCTTCTGGGCTCAAGTGAGCCTCCTGCCTCAGCCTCCTGAGTAGCTAGGACTACAGGTGCATGCCACCACACCTCGCTAATTTTTATTTTTTTATTTTTATTTTTTTGTAGAGATAGGATCTTCCAGTGTTGCTCAGGCTGGTCTCAAACCTCTGGGCTTAAGCCATCCTCCTACTGCAACCTCCCAAAGTGCTAGGAATATAGGCATGAGCCATCATGCCTGGCCTGTTCTTTTTCCAAGATTGTTTTAGCTATTCGGGGTCCCTTGAGATTCCATATGAATTTTAGTATTGTTTTTTTTATTTCTGCCAAAAAAAAAGTGTTGGGATTTTAATAGGGATTGCATTGAATCTGTAGGTCATTTAGGGTAGTATTAAACATTTTAACAACAGTGTTTCGGCCAGGTGTGGTGGCTCATGCCTATAATCCCAGCACTTTGTGAAGCTGAGGCAGGCAGATTGATTGAGCCCAGGAGTTTGAGACCAGACTGGGCAACATGGCGAGGCTTCGTCTCTACAAAAAATACGAAAATTAGCGGGGTGTGGTGTCGTGTGCTTGTAATTCCAGCTACTTGGGAAGCTGGGATGGGAAAATTGCTTGAGCCCAGGAGGCTGAGGCTGCAGTTAGCCATGAATCCGCCACTGCACTCCACTGCACTGTCACTGGGTGACAGAGTGTGACCCTGTCTCAAAACAACAACAACAACAACAAAAATACCATAGTAAGTCTTCCAGTCCATGAACATGGGTATCTTTCCATTTATTGATGCCTTCTCTAATTTCTTTTACCAATGTTTTATACTTTTTAGTGTAGAAGTCTTTTGCCTCCATAGTTAAGTTTATTCCTAAGTATTTTATTGTTTTTAATGATACTGTAAATGGAATTATTTTCTTAATTTCTTTTTTGGATTGTTCATTGTTAATATATAGAAGTGAAGCTGATTTTTTCATATTGATTTTATATCCAGCTGCTTGGCTGAATTCTTATTTGCTTGAACAGTTGCATGTGTGTATGTATGTAAATCTGTAGAGCTTTCTACATATAGAACATTTGTGTCATCTGCAAACAAATGGTTTCTTATCTTCCTCTTCAATTTAATTATCTTTTATTTCTTCTTGCTTAATTGCTCTAGCTAGGACTTCCAAAACTATGTTGAATAGCAGTGGTGAAAGTGGGCATCCTCACCTTGTTAGAAGAAAAGCTTTGTCTTTCATCATTAAGTATGATGTTATCTATGGGCTTTTCATATATGACCTTTATGTTTTTTGGTTTTGTGTTTGCTTATGAAATGATTTAATATTGGTAAATGTATAATAAAATGGGAGTTATTATATACCTGTGGTGGAGGAAGACTATAAATTGGTTACACTTAAAAAAATTTTTTTTTAATTTCGTGGATACGTAGTAGGTATATATATTTATGGGGCTCCATGAAATGTTTTGATACCAGCATGCAGTCTAAAATAATCACATCATGGAGAATGGAGTTATCCATCCCCTCAAGCATTTATCCTTTGTATTGTAAACAATACAATTTCACTCTTTTAGTTCTTTTAAAATGTACAATTAAGTTATTGTTGACTATAGTTACCCTGTTGTGCTATCATATAGTAGGTATTATTTATTCTTTCTAACTATATACATTTTTGTACCCATTACTTTATATATTTTTTGTACCCATTAACCATCTCCACCTTCTTCCTACCTTCCCACTACCCTTCTTAGCCTCTGGTACCATCCTTCATCCTTCCTCTGGTACCACTCTTTATGTCTATGAGTTCAATTGTTTTGATTTTTAGATTCCACAAATAAGTGCAAACATATGATGGCTGCCTTTCTGTGCCTTGCTTATTTTACTTAATACAACGATCTCCAGTTCCATCCATGTTGTTGCAAATGACAGATCTCACTTTTTTTATGGCTTAATAGTACTCTAGCGTATATATGTACTAGCCTTTATTTTGCTGAGGTTGTTTTCATCTGTTCCTAGTTTGGGTTTTTTTGTTTGTTTGTTTGTTTTTTAATCATGAAGGGGTATTGAATTTTGTCAAATGATTTTCTGCATTAATTCAGATAGTCATATAGTTTTTTTCTTAATTCTATTAATGTGATATATTAATTGGTTTTTGTATGTTGAACCATCCTTTCATTCCAGGAATGGCTCCTATTTGGTCATGGTGTATACTCCTTTTAATGTGCTGTTGAATTTTGTTTGCTACTATTTTGTTGAGGATTTTTGTAACAGTATTCATCAGGGATATTGGTCTGTCCTCTTCTTGTAGTATCGTTGTCTGGCGTTGGTATCAGGGTTTTGCTGGCCTCATAGAATGAGTTGGGAAGCATTGCATCCTATTCAGTTTTTTAGAATAACTTGACAGGTATTGGTACTAATTCTTTAAGTGTTTGATAGAATTTACCAGTAAAGCCATTTGGTTCTAGGCTTTGCGTTTTGGGGAATTTTTTGATTACTAATTAAATCTCCTTACTAGTTATAGATCTGTTCCAATTTTCTATTTCTAAACTATTATTATTATTGTTTTTTGTTTGAGACAGGGTCTTGCTCTGTCTCCCAGGCTGGAGTGCAGTGGTTCGATCACATTGCAACTTCGATCTCCTGGGCTAAAGCAATCCTCCCACCTCAGACTCCCAAGTAGCTGGGACCACAGGCGCATACCACCATGCCCAGCTAATTATTTTTTTTCAGATGGAGTCTTGTACTGTTGCCCAGGCTGGAGTGCACTGGCGTAATCTCAGCTCATTGCAACCTCCTCCTCCTGAGCCCAGGCAATTCTCCTGCCTCAGCCTCCCAAGTAGCTGGGATTACAGGCACAAGCCCCCACACATCGCTAATTTTTGTATTTTTAGTAGAGATGGGGTTTCACCATGTTGATCAGGCGGGTCTTGGACTCCTGACCCCAGGTGATCTGCCCACCTTGGCCTCCCAAAGTTCTGGGATTACAGGTATGAGCCACCATGCCCAGCCCCAGCTATTTTTTTTTTTTTTTAGAGAGACAAGATCTCACTATGTTGCATGGGGTGGTTTTGAACTCTTGTGCTCAAGTGGTCTTCCTGCCTCAGCCTCCCAAAGTATAATCCCAAAGTGAAATTACAGGTGTGAGTCACTGTGCCCAGCCTAAACTATTATTTTTAAAGACTGTATTCTTTGCCTTGTGTAGTCACTGAAGTATCTTTCCATTACCTTAGTGGTGAGCTCATGATTGGTCAGAAACTTCCTTAGGTTCCTCATACAAAAACTAACAAAAACCTCTCATGATCTTTGCAGATTGGTTCTGTAATGGGGCATTGTTTCAGTGCTTAGCTGGGTCATTTAAACATCTGCCTTACCCTTTGCTTCCTACTTGCATGAAGTCTGAATGTCCATCGGAGGTGCAAATGTAGATTTTTTCCTGAGCATGTGTCTACTTCGGACATGCATATGGCCCTCTAGATTCACTAGTATCTACATGTCCCTTGCTTATGGATTGATTTTCTAAATTGACAAATAAAAATTATATGCATTTATGATGTAAAACATGTTTTAATATATGTATAAATTTTGGAATGGCTAAATCATGCTAGTCAACATATCCATTACCTCACGTACTTAACATTTTTCTGTGGTGAGAACATCTAAACTCTACTCTGTTGGCAGTTTTCAGGTATATACTATTATTAACTATAGTCACCATGTGGTACAGTAGATCTCCTGAACTTTTTTTTCCTAGCTGAAATTTTGTATACTTTGACTAATGTGTCCCCAGTATGCCTCCTCCCCACCTCCTAGCTCCTGGTAATCGCCATTCTACTATCTACATTTATGAATTCAACTTTTTATAATTTCAAACGTAAGTGAAATTATGCAGTATTTGTCTTTCTGTGCGTGACTTATTTCAGTAAGGGTAATATATTCCAAGTTCATCCTGTTATTACCAATGACAAGATTTTATTCCTTTTAAAGGCTGAATAGTATTCCATTATGTATATATATCACATTTTCTTTATCCATTCATCTATTGATGGATACTTAGGTTGATTCCATATCTTGGTTATCATGAACACTAAATACAGGAGTTTTTCAGAATTTTTTTTTTCTTTGTGCAAATATTTTACAGTTTTATTTTTAAATCATTTACACATATTCATACAAAGAAAAATAAATTTCAGGATGGAATTTTGGGACCATGGTAGTTTAAAAAAAAAAGAACTGTCTGATCATTAGCTACTGAAGACAAGGCAAGAGGCTTAGCAGTCATTACCTTCCCATGCAGGGGACAATTGAGAAGAATCCAAGCTGCTCCCTCATCTTCCTTCAATCATCACCTTCTGGAGACAAGATGGGGGAAGGGGATTTTCCAATGCTCTCCCCTAGAAACATTTCAAGAAATATAGCAAAGGCTTATGGCAACACTGAACCTATTTGCTAGAAATCTGCAAGATTGCAATTTCTGAATCAACTTTCTAGAAGAGTTAGCTCAATTCCCATTCACAGGTACTTCTAAGAGGAGGAAGGTTTGCTGCACTCACCACACCCCCTTCCCACTTGCTCTGTCCTCCCAACGCTCCAGAACAGAGCCTAGATCTCATCTGATCTAGCACCTCCCTGCTCCCACCCAGCCTCCTTTCACAAGTGAACCTTCCTTCAACCCCACACACCCAGACACTCTGTAGCAATTGGCCCTGGAAGCTCCTTAGGACCACCGTGATGATGACACAGGATTACTGCATCAGCATCATACTCACAAGGAATCAGAGCTCAGCTAGGAGAGGTCCAAGAATAACAGAACTATGAACACTCCTACCAAAACTCAGCTCTGCTCAGCCAATTCAACAATTCAGCCAAACAGAGGCTAACTCCTAGCACGTCCCACCCCAAACCATCATCATTAGAGGCACACAGCAAATGAACCTCCTACTTACACTGCCCAAGGAAGCTGGACTATTATCAATTCCCAGTAAAAGTGAGGGAAAGGACAGACATTACAAATGTGGTAGACCCTATCAGGAATGGCAGCTGATGACAACAGTTACCCTAAATCGTTGGATCCTACCCAAAATGCAGCACCAAGAAAAGGCATGATGAGCAGAGAGATCTGTAGCTGTATGTACAGCCTTTGAATTACCAAGAGACTCAGAGATAATGCAGCTCATTTTCCTACAATTATGTAGGAGCTAGAACACAGACTACCCACCCCTACATTGAGGCAGTTCCTGAAAGGCCATACCGCTTATGGTCATCAGCCTACCTCCTTGGTAGGGGGAGGGGGAATCACATCCAGAGCGGGGACCCCTCCAGGTGGACACTCACAGGGCAGCCCATCCCGTTGTCACTGGGGCAGGCCAAACATAGTTAGGAGGGTGGACAGATCCCGGGCATCAGCTGCACCATAGGCATCGCTCTGGCCTAACATAGACAATGCCAAACACAGGGTGCTCCAGATGTTCTCCGACATGGCGCCTCCTTCACCCTGAGGGCTTCGGCTTTTCCTCTGCATGTTCAGGGCCTCCAGAAAGTGCTCCACAGCCTCCTGGTGAGCCTCAAGGTTGATGCAGTTGATGCCCAGGTTATAGCGTGACTGGTTATAGCCAGGCTGGAGCTCGAGGGCCTGGCAGTATGCAGCTACTGCTTCTTCACTCTGGTTTCCATGGGCCAAGGTGGCCCCTAGCTTATTCCACAGCAAATAGTCATTGGGACGAACACTGAATGCACCTGTGAAGCAGTCCACGGCCTTGTCATACTCCCCACTCAGGTTGAAAAGGACTCCCAAGCCACACTGCACATCAGGGTTAATGGAGGTAGGGTCCAGCTGCACAGCTGCCAGAGAAGAGCTCTTTCACTTCAAGAAACAGGGAATCAGACAACAGAGACCCCAGGATATGCTTGCTGGGGCCCAGTCCTGCCCCACCAGCCCCTTCTTCAGCAGGTGTCACCAGATTAGCACAGCCAGTCCCACAGGGTTTCACAGGCCTGTCACTGCAGGGACTCATTGGTGAAGCTCATGGCCAGCGCCATCAGTGCTGTCTGGTTATCTGGCTTTAGCTCCAGACACCTCCGCAATGCACTGATGACTAATAGTTCTTGTTCATTCTCTGCCTGGGTGGTACCCAGATACTGCCAAGCTTCCATGTGCTTAGGATCCTACTGCACAACTGCCTCAAAAAGCAGCACAGCATTTGGCAGGTCCCCCTCCTCAAGTCACCACAGCCCTTCTTCAAAAGGCTGAGGGTGATCACGCAAGGGCTTCTCCTCCTCAAACTGGTACCCCTTATCATAGGTAGCTGACGTAAGGTCATCATAGTCAGAAAGCCAGGGGTGGGCCTCAGCATCCCGTTTTGCCATCTCCTCCAACTCTGCCTGGAACTTGTTCCAGAAATCGACATCAGACTCTATAGCTGACTTGGCTCGTTCAAACTCCATATCAAGGGCAGATATGTTTACTGGTCATGTGAACTGGTCAACCCAGGCATCTGATGTACCCTCAGAATTAGCCAATTTGCGGTCATCCACTTTGGCCACAAAGTCACTGGCCATGTGCTGCAGATCCTCCTCAGGATGATATTCATCACACCAGCGAGTGGAGGCTGTTCCCTCAGGCTCTCCCAGCCACAGTTTCTCCTCTGATTGCTCCAATTATTCCTCAGCCCAGCAAGCGGGGGACACAAAGGGGTCTGTAACTTCAGAGATGAATTCTTGGGACCAGTCAGTCTTGTTATAATCCTGAGTTACATCCACAGCATCTCCAGTTGCAAGGAACTCCTGGGCCCAGTTCTCAGACAAGGCCAAGTCTGCCACACCAGGGGCTCTCTGGGGAGCCTGGTGGAAGTTTGACTGTCCAATCTGCTGCATCTCAGCCAGGAGGTCATCCATCTTGAAGGTCTGAGGGGCATGGGACACAAGGGGTGCATTCTGGTCCTGCAGGAATTCAGCCACCCACTCATCTTCAAAAGCTACTCCCAAAGGTTTGGAGACTGCCTCAGAGGCTGGAGCTCCGGCGGTCCAGGGGCCAGGCCTCAATCCCTCCTGCCGAAGGGCCTTGTCTTGGGTGAAGTGCCCGGCCAGCTTCGTGAGCGGGTTGGCACCCCCGCATTCGGCCTCCACCAGCTCCTGCATTGCCATGGTGACCGCCAGCTCTCACGGCGCCCCGTGCTGCACAACCCGCCGGGCACCAGGTGCAGGCCCAGAGTTCTTATTTCCAAGTGTGTTTCCTTCCCCAGCCTCTTTCCCAGGCTTTTGGTTCTCTCTGCTGTTTGACCTGTTATCCCTTGCCCCAGAAGGCTGTGGCTAACGTATTTGCCTTTAAATGCTTTTGACATAAGCTATCTTGGAGATCACTCCTGCTCTGAGAAAACTCCAAGTGGATGAAATAAAAGCAGTCCCCTATGTTGATCCTGCAGGGAAGGGTCAGACACACCAAAACACATAGCTACTATTATTTGAGAATAAGGTCCATACTGATCCCTGTGGCACCAACAACCTTCACCAGGAATGCAGACTGCTGTCCCCACTGCTGTCATTGAATTAGGGAGCTGTGGATGATAAGGCAGATAAATTAAAATGCCATGATACTCTCTTACCAAAATTTACCATGTCTTTCTTCACTAAGCATTCCCCTGGATTTTGTAAAATTTTGATTAGATTCTAGAGCTCAAAAAAGTTGATTTTGACTGGTTTTTTTCCAGCTTAAGTGTTGCTTTAGTGGAAGAATAGATTTTTGGAGTTCTGTACTTCATCATTTTCTGTGATGGTACTCTGTTTATTTTTTTAAACAGCTTAATTGGGGTATAATTGCAAATATTTAACGTATACAATTTCATAAGTTTCTTTTTTCTTTTCTTTCTTTTTTTCTTTCTTTCTCT